CTGTCCCCTTAACCCTGCTGCTGCAAATATTGCAGTTTTAGAGGGTTAAGACTGTCTCTAGTGGTGGTCTACCAGACAAGCACTAGAGGCTCTTCCTGCATTATTGCTGTATAAGCAATTTTAAACAAAATAAAAAAAATTTATGCAAAATGAACAGGACTTCTATTCATAAATAGGACACATGGTCACACATTTAGATTGGAAAAGGAAAGGACAGGAGATTTAGTCTAAGGCAAGACTAATTTTTTTATTTATTTTTTTTACAGTAAAAACCAATAAGGATGTAGAATTCTCTGCCTGAAGAGGTTGTTTTATCAGATTCTGAACAGATGTTTAAACATCAATTGGATGAATACTGGCAAACACATAATCAGGTATATCATTTTTAAATTGTTGATCCTAGAAGACATCCGATTGCCATTATGGGATCAAGAAGGATTTTTTTCCTAGGTTGTTGCAAAATGGGAAGTGCTTCAAACTGGGTTTTTTTTGCATTCTTTTGGATCAACAGCAAAAACTGATGTGATAAAGGCTTAACTTGATGGACCCACATCTCTTTTCAACTATGTAACTATTTAAAAAGCATTTCTTAAAGTGACAGAGCGATTAAGAACTAGTTTTTTATATATATATACATATATATATACACATATATATATATATACACATATATATATATATATATATATATATATATATATTATATACACACACACACACACACGCGCGCATTTCCACTGGGGGGAGAGGGGTGGTGTTTTCAGTAGATCATAGTGCTCAACTGTATCAATTTTTTGACAACCTCAGTGTTCAATGACTGTTAAAGTTCTCACTAAGTGCATTAATTCTGCAGACGCTATGAACATGCAAAATTACAGATTTGGCCTTATTAAAGAGGAGGTCAAAACTTGGGGTATCAGATCCACTATATTTTCCTGGACTTACATCACATTTTCACGCTGATGGGTACTTGTTAAACAGGTATACACTAATCATTTATTGCAACAAATTAAAATCAATTGAGTCAGAATTCAGGGCAGCCACCAAGACCCTCTCAGGATCACAAAGTCAACAAAAACGTGGTGGATCCAACACTTACAGTCAGAACCCATCCAGAGTCATTGGACAAAACGAAAACAGAGCAAACCTTTTTTATTTTTTTAAATAATTAAAAATTTCAGTTGAAAGAAAGTTCAATTCAGAAAAAACAGTCTAAAAGTATCTTTAGAACACAGCAAACACATCATAATACTTTTACTACACTACTACAAATTCAATATGGTACCAAGGTAATCGATGCTGAAAGAGTATTAAAAACTTACCGTGTTGGTTGCATTAAGTGTAACATGTGGCAGTCTGTGTAAAAGAGACATGCAGGTGGTAGTAGTTGCCATGCACCACTTTCTTAAGAACAACTGCTTACTTGAGAATGGTAATGGGACAAACCCCTCTGTTTCAAGGAAGAGTCTTTCAAATTACAAGTCTTTAAAACCCAGTCTTAAAAATAAAATTTACCCCAGGAAAAAAATCAAATGAGGAACTAACATGTCTCATAATCTTCCCAAGAAGGCAAACAACAGGCGAGTGTGTGTGGCTGTAAAACCCTGTGAGAGGTCTCTATATAAAAACAATCATGGTGTGGAATGAGCAATTGACCCTACCCCCTTGCAGGTAGGAGTGGGGAAACTATTTTGTTAAGGGCAAGCATACTAATAAACCCTGTTTTATATATATCTGTCCAATGCTGCCCTACCCTGAAAATGTGAGTTGCTTGCTATCAATTAATATAATTACAAACTGTGATACACAAAAATAAATATATACATGTAACTGCAAATGTTGCTTTAAAAAGCTAACTCACAAAAAGTACATGGGGCACATGTGATCCTGGATTGAGTTAATGGAGTCACTAATAACAGAGTTACTCACAAAAGTCAGTCAATTAAAATGTTAAGGCCACACAAGCCAAACTGGATGCATATCTGACTTGGAGAATGTTTCTAATTCATCTATTTTGGCCTTGAATTGGAAATGCCACACATTTCACACTATTTGCTAAAGTGAGACTTAAAGTGAAATTCAAATTTAAGTTAAAATAGGCAAATTGGCATGCTTTCAGTTTGGCTACTCTGGCCTTAAATTTGAAATTGACCTTGAGTTCACTTTGAATGATCAATTTAGTGAACAACCCATTTTATCAGACAAATTTATTTGCACTGATTGCAGGACGCAAAACCTGCAGCCCTTTAAAATGTAACATGTAAATGCAGGAAAAATCATCTCTTAACGAATCTAGACAACTCCTAACTGTTCCATATGGATTCCACATGCTGTGGTTCAGCACTTTTCATGTATCACATCATATACAATAATGAAACAGGAAAGTAAATGGGAAAGGTATTTACTAAACTGAACTGTATGGAACTGAAATGTGAATTGCAAGAGGCTAAATATGCAAAGCTGTGATGTGACTATAACTAAATTGAAGAATTATTCCATGTCAACAATGTTACCATTTCAATGTCAGTAATTTGCAATATGGAGTTTTACCAATTGGCTCCATAGTGTATCTTCTACATGAATTAAAGCACTATACAAAAAATACAGTATAATTCACATGGGGCAATCAACTATTCAATGGAAGAGGAAGGAGCTGCCTTGATTAGTTGATATTTGCCCTGCATCAATTAAATGATACATATTATAGAAGAATGCTTTTTACACATAGCCTCTCTATGTGAAAATGTAAAGTGTGCAGGAAATCATGGCACATCTGACAACTCAGCTGGAAAATGTATATAACATTGAAATAAATTCTGCCATTCATGATTTCTCTTTATATTGGGGGATGAAGGTTTTTTCACTCCCCTTCTATTATATTTGGGCAGGGTGTGAGAAGCATGAGCTAATTAAATTGTTAGTTAAAGGAGAAAGCTTTTCATCCTGTATTAGATAGACAGATAAGAGGTAATTCACCAAATTTAAGCAAGATGGACAGAATTCAATGAAAATGTCTGTATTTCAACTGGATTTGTAATTCTAAGAAGAATTTTAGAATCTTTTCTAAAAGCAAAACAAAGTAATTTCATCCGAATGAGTACCATTTGGTAAGAACCATTCTGTGCTTTAACCCCTTAAGGACACATGACATGTGTGACATGTCATGATTCCCTTTTATTCCAGAAGTTTGGTCCTTAAGGGGTTAAATCAGTGTTTCTCAACCTTTGACGGAGTAAAGAATTCCCAAGTACCCCATGCCTCGAGTAGATATTGATTTCAATTCCTGATGAAAACGTTTAGACACTGATATTTAAATTAATCCCATACTGGACAACAAGCCTGATTAAAAATAGTAAAGCATATATTTTTTTTAAAATAAATATTATGTAATGTGAATATTGTGTATGTAAGGAGGAGTGTAAGAACTATTAAAGTGAAGTATAAAAGTCACAAAGTAAAATGTAATACACACATAGTTACACACAGAGATCATGGACACACACACATACAAGCTCAGAATTAACATAACAATAAGCCGCTGTATTTAAAAGGATTAAATGAGCTATGTGCAACACTCAATTTAAACGCTGCATTTAGCTCATCTACCAGTCTGGGACCACTAACTGTGGCTCCAATTTATAGAAGGTACACTCAGGTATCCAATGATACCTGGGGATCCTTGGTACCAACAGGAAATTAACCCTGCTGGTACTTTTAAAGGGAGACTACTGGCACCCAGACCATTTCATCTCATTGTAGTGGTCTGGGTGCAGTGTCCCTGCCCCCCTTGGTCCTGCAATGTAAAACAATGAAAGTGCAGAGAGAAACTGCAATGATTACTTTGCTGGACTAAAACAGTCATTAGAGTGACTGTTGAAATTTGGAAGAAAATGGAAGCCCAAGATCAGTGAATACGCACTTTCTGGGGATAACCCAGGTAACTAGGGAAGTAGTAGTGAAAAAACAAGAGTTGATAGAAATTTAAAACATAACATTTATTGTTTCTCAATAAAACTAGGTCGACAGAATAAAATAAAACAAGTTATATTTATTAGTAATGGTGCTTAAGTGCTCAAAGTGATGATTAAAATGCAGGATCTATATTTGATAAATGCCTGCCTCGTTTCTAGGTGTCACTAGAATTGTTAAATTTTTTGCAAGTCACTATCAATGTACAGTAATGTTTCCTAGGTGAGATGCCACAATTGTTATTGTTAGTAGTGCATAATTATGCCTAGGTTTGCAAGTGATGTATCAATATGTAATTGATACTATTTGTTAGATCCAGTAAACACAGTTGTTGTAAATCATAACATGTAATTATACCTAGGTTGTTGCATAATACATTTCGATCTGTGCTCGTTTAGTGAGGTCTGCTTCCTCTTAGTCTTATACACCTTGGTTTTAATAAATTAAACAGCTTATCACATTAGCACGTGTACAGAGTGTAATCAAAGCTTCAAGCTGAAAAAAATTAATTAATTCAAAGATTAGCCTGAAATATCTAGCATCTAGTAATCATAGTATCATTCCTTAGCAAAAAGTGGTATGCTGAAATTAAATGGTGCTGTATCTATGTCTTTAAAGGCACCAGCCACACATATGTATGTGCAGATAGGATTCTAAATGCTGTTAATTTCATTAAACGATGCTGGACATCCTCACACTCTGCATGAGGATATCCAGCGTCAGTGAAAATCCCATAGGAAAGCATTAAGGCAATGCTTTCCTATGGGGAGGCCCTACTGTGCATTAGGTCCCCCTGTCAGATGATGTCGGAGGAGGCGACGCACAAACCCAGCACCGTTCTGGGTAACTGACTAAAGGTTTTTTGAGCCCTTTATCTGTTACAGTAGAGGGGAGGCATGAGGGAGGAGGGGACCAGAGGGCACTATAATGTTCGGAATACAGATCGGAATACCTAACACTAGTGATGTCCCGAAAGGTTCGCTGCAGACGGCGAACATAAACATAAACTTTGACCCTGTACCTCACAGTCAGCAGACACATTCCAGCCAATCAGCAGCAGACCCTCCCTCCTAGACCCTCCCACCTCCTGGACAGCATCCATTTTGAAGCTGCATTCTTAGTGAGCTGTCCAGGAGTTGGGAGGGTCTGGGAGGGAGGGTCTGCTGCTGATTGGCTGGAATGTGTCTGCTGACTGTGAGGTACAGGGTCAAAGTTTATGTTTATGTTCGCCGTCCGCGGCGAACTGTTCGGGACATCACTACCTAACACTCTAATCCCTTGCATGATGATCTATTCGGTCAACTGGTATTAAAGCCCTGCACTGCATGGTGGCATAGACTGTCATGTGATCATTAAGGGGATAATCTCTGCCCATGTCTGTAATTGAACATTGAGGATTATTTACTAAACTCAGAATTCCAGTGACTGAAATCTGAATGTCAAAACTGGGTCTCAAATAATCACGCTGTGAATTTAGCAGAATTATGCCAGATTTTGATTTCATTTGCTAAAATGTGGTACTTAGTGTATACTCTAAACAGTATGTGGAAACACAATGTGTAGGTGTCATGCTCTGAAAAGTAGTGTAAAGCTGAAAAACTGGACTAGTCGTGGAATGTGCCTGCTGATATCATTGGTTTCCATGGTGATTGCTCAATATTTAGAACTTTGCTCCACTTTTCAAAATATCATACTTTGATAAATCTCCCCCAACGTTCTGTTTCTTTTCCTCCAAAGCAATATAAGCCCTGGCTTTGCCGGGATGAACATTAATTGTGATGTCAATTGCTAAATCTTTAAAAGGACACCTTAAGTACCATAATCACTACAGAGTTCTCTAGTGGGGTACACAGTGTGGCCCCTCTTAACAGATAAAGTTAAATAGGAAGTCCTTACTTCCTCTAACTTTTTTTAGCAGAATTAATTTTGTGAGTTTGTTGGCTGACACTGCACAGAATTATTTTCTGACAAAACTGATATTGCTAAAAGGGGAAGATGACTTTATCATTTAGCGAACCCAGGTAAATGCCGAACCCAGGTAAATTCTGGCACACGCAACTGCTTAATGTCAATTCTGTGCATAAAATACTTCAGTCATCAACTTGCACTGCAATGGAGTGTCCCCTCACTCCCTCCTCCCAATCCCATCCACAAATTTTTGAATCACTGCCCTCCCTCTACCGTTGCTGGTTCAGAGGGCGCGCATGTGCCCTATACGGGTAAAATGGTCCTATCTAAGGCTTTCACTATGGATCAGCACGCCTTCCGTGAAGCTACACAGGGTGCGTCAAGCAATGCTTCGCCCAACGCTTGATTAAGGTACGTAAACGTATTTTAAGAACTTACTTTGTGCATTTTCTTTGGACTGATAGATTAATGCCAATAGGGCGTTATACTATCATAAATGGGAAAAAGAAAAGGGTTGGAGAATCCCTTTAAGTTATACCGCTTGCTGTGTTCCTTTTACATTCATTTAAAGAAAATGGAAAATCTCGTGAAAAAAAGGTTAATACAAGTTACAGGTTATTTTTTTAAATTACTTTATTCAATGATACAATAGCCAATAGTGACAGTTCCTCTTTAAAATCCCATTTTGCATAGCTCCTACAAATACATGGTTTTCCATGGTATTTATTTACTATGCAATGAACTTTAATACATTTAAATCCTGATGACAAGTTCTGGCCAAACTGGTGGTGATGTTGTGGAAACATAATTTCTAATTCAGCATTTTTTCCCTCCAACTTAGCTATTTTAGTGTACAATTTAAATTAAGGTTTTCATTTCCACCCCAGTCCAATATTTAATGGATAAAACCTCATGGGACAATATTCCAGGACACTAGTTGTGGTTATAATAACTATGACCTGCAGGACCATCACCTGTAAGTAGTGGAATGCCCAGGAATGATCAGCGCAGGAGGACAATAAAATCAAACTACATTTCCATGCATGCTTTGCGCTATAATCATTCGCGACGCTGATTGGTTGATTCGGGGTAAAGGCGGAAGTGGTTTGAGGCTGGAGGAGAGATGAGCAGGTTGGGTGCAGTGCAGCAGAAGATCCCCTGTGTCTTCACTACCCAGGTGAAGAATGAGCCCTCCTCCAAGCGGGAGCATCAGGTACATGCTCTGATAGAGGCAGCATGGCGAATAGCATCCTTTATCCTGCCTGCTTTAGCTTATAAACAAAACACTGCACTAAGAGCCACAGGTTCTGTGTTAGAACTACAACTCCCAGCATGCTTTGCCACCCCCAAGGCTGTAAAATCATCCTGGGAGTTGTAGTTGTTTAACATTTATACAGTTACACTTCTCTGCCTTTGCAGTGTATGTGATTATGAGAGATTGACTAATGATAATTCCCCACCAGCTGTTACAGAAATACAAATCCATAATGCTGTGGCAAATTACAGAGAGGCACAGCATTGTGGGAGTTATTGTCCAATAATATATACATATATAATATAATATAATATATTATTTTTATATATATATATATATATAAAAATTTGCCCATTATTTGGTTTATATAGTGTGTAGATAAGCTTTGAAATTCAATTAAAGCAAATAAAACACAAGGTGTCCCAAATTATTAGCCATTCTTGATCTTAAAAGGTTATAAGATTTGTAGCACAATGTTGCATTTATGTATACAATACAATATAGAACTGCAAATACATAAAACTGAAAAATATACATTAGAAGTTTAAATGAGAAATTAAGCATAGAGGGATGGATTTACTCACGGGGTATTCTCCAAAAGTTAGGATCATATTTTAGTCTTAATGGGCTCAGCATGTTTACTCTTAAGAAGTTGTGCAAAGGCCGGTTTTGTAAGCATACTTTTAACAGCAGTCACAAAATGTATAAATAGTAAGCCAGCACAAGCCCATCACAAAGAGTTCAGATTGAAACATTGACAGTTATGAATATCTTGCATTAAAGGACCACTCTAGGCACCCAGACCACTTCAGCTTAATGAAGTGGTCTGGGTGCCAGGTCCAGCTAGGGTTAACCCATTTTTTAATAAACATAGCAGTTTCAGAGAAACTGCTATGTTTATGAATGGGTTAAGCCTTCCCCCATTCCTCTAGCGGCTGTCTCATTGACAGCCGCTAGAGGCGCTTGTGTGCTTCTCACTGTGAAGTCGCAGTGAGAGCACGCAAGCGTCCATAGGAAAGCATTGATAATGCTTTCCTATGCGACCGGCTGAATGCGCTGCTCTTGCCGCGCGTGCGCATTCAGCCGGGGGAAAACGGAGGAGGATCGGAGGCAGAGAGCTCCCTGCCCAGCGCTGTAAAAAGGTAAGTTTTACCCCTTTTCCCCTTTCCAGAGCCGGGTGGGGGCACCCTCAGGGCACTATAGTGGTCCTTTAATGTTTTTACAAGTCCTTAGGGTATGTTTTTAAAAAAAAAAAAAAAAAAAACATGGTTTTTTATATAGAATTATAGATCTAATTATTTCTCCATTATAATGTTGTACTGCGTTCATACAGCGCAGCCCTCACCCTTGCTAAACAGTCCTACTTTTCCTCTCTCATTAGTTCATGCTCCCGCAATCGTAGGCATCATCTTTTAATACCTTTTAACTCTCTCTTTGCCCTGCTATGGCCACCCCACAAACTAATATTTCAGCTGATTGCTTTGCATGTTACTTTACTGACAAGATTAAACAGTTAAGGAATGAATTATCCCTCTCTATCTAAACCTCACTTGGACCATACCATCCCTACCCTCCAAGACTTCACTCCAGCTACTGAACAAGTGGCTCCTTTCCTGTCGCTTCCACCACTTGCCCGCTTGATTCCATCCCGTGCCACCTTATCAAATCTCTCTCCCTTGTCTTGTGCCTTCCTTAACACACATCTTCAACTGCTCTCTTTCTTCTGGTGTGGTCCCAGCTCGCCTTAAACATGCTACTGTTTTACCTGTCCTCAAAAAGCCATCTCTTGAGCCAGCTTCCCCTTCCAATTATCGTCCCATATACCTGCTCCCTTTTTCCTCAAAGCTTTTGGAAAGACTTGTCTTTACCTGTCTCACTTGCTTTCTCAATTCCAGGTGTAATTTTTGATCCTGGCCTCACCTTTGCACCTCATGTCCAGTCTGTTGCTAAAACCTGTCGATTCGACCTTAAAAACATTGACCGCATGTGCCCCTTTCTTAAAGGACCACTCTAGGCATCCAGACCACTTCAGCTTAATGAAGTGGTCTGGGTGCCATGTCCCTCTAGGATTAACCCTTTTTTAAATAAACATACCAGTTTCAGAGAAACTGCTATGTTTATAAATGGGTTAATCCAGCCTCTAAAGCCTCTAGTGGCTGTCTCGTTGACAGCCCTAGAGGCGTTTGCGTGCTTCTCACAGTGAGAAGATGCCAGCGTCCATAGGAAAGCATTATGAATGCTTTCCTATGAGACTGGCTGAATGCTCGCGCAACTCATGCCGCGCATGCGCATTCAGCCGAAGAGGAGGAGGAGAGCTTCTCGCCCGTCGCTGGAAAAAAAAAGGTAAGATTTAACCCTTTCCTCGCCATCCAGCCTGGCGGGAGGGGGTCCCTGAGGGTGGGGGCACCCTCAGGGCTGGCACAATAGTGGTCCTTTAAGCAAGATGCTGCCAAGAAGCTTATTCATGCTTTAGTAATCTCTTGCATCGATTACCTGTAAATCTCTCCTAATTGGTCTCCCCAGAAGCCAAACTGCCCCCCTACTATCTGTGATGAATGCTGCTGCCAGCCTGATCTTTCTCTCCTGTTGGTCCTCTCACACCTCATTTTTTTGTCGATCCTTACATTGGCTTCCTGTACCCTACAGGTGTCAATTTAAAATAACCCATACCTATAAAGCTCTAACCAACTCTAGCCCTTCTTACATTTCTTCACTGATTCATAGTATGCCCCCTCTCGCTCTCTCCTCTCTACTGGTGACCTTCTCCTGCTCGCACCCTTACTGCAAATTCACGCCTGCAAGACTTCTCACGGCGACTCTTTTCCTTTGGAACAGTCTGCCTCCTCCTGTCAGACTCTCCCTTAGTCTTCAATCCTTTAAGAAGTCTCTCAAAACCCATCTTTTTAGGAATGCTTAGGGCCTCCAAGAGTAACTTCTATCTCTTAATCCTTCCTCTTGCTCTCTCCTAAAGTGCCACACTCCACTTTCACCTGCAGTTCTGCTACTTTCCTACCACATCTATTTGCTGTGTCCCTCAATACCCTTACTACTGTGTATTTATACCCCACCTCCTCTAGATTGTAAGCTTGTTTGAGCAGGGTTCTTAACTACCTATTGTTCCTGTTACACTTTGTTATTGTCTCATTTGGTAAATTCCCCTTTTATTGTAAAGCGCTGTGGAATAAGCTGGAGCTATATAAATACCAATAATAATATATTGCACCTGTGTGCTAGACACCATTAATTCTGTTGAAAGCAAAGTTATTTCATACTATAATTTTATTTATTTAATGTAGGCATTCAAAGTTGTAGCCACAGAAACTCTTAGTCCTGCGGCCCAGGATTCCGATGTTTATAGTGCAGTGCCCACTGAGAAGGTGGATGGGACATGCTGCTATGTTACAAAACACAAAGGTAATGAATGACTAATACTCCACTGTGTGGTTCTGTTATATGCTGAAACGTTGATTGTAACAGAAATTATGTTTTAAGAGATATGGAATAAAGAAAGAAAACTTTTACACAAGAAAAAGACTGTGAGTGCAAGCCTTCATTTACTATTTTCTATGATATTTGACTTTGGCTGGAATGCCCCGGCATTTGAATAATTTGAAAGTGTGTGTGCAGGGATAAAAAGGAACATATATATATATATATATATATATATATATATATATATATATATATATATATATATATATATATATAATTAAATACTATTACTACTATATTCACGTATGTACTTTCGATAATGTGGGAGCACCCAATCTTATGTACTTAATGCAGTATTATTTGTCAATGCATATTTCAGTCCATAGCTTCCATTTATCCATTTTCATCTTTTTAGACATATTGAGATCTGTGTCTTGCTATGAATTTTGTTTATTGACAAGTAGTAGTTGATTTTTGTTATTGTCAAGTAGATTTTTGTTACAGTTAGGGAGACACCGAAACTTCGGTTGCCAAAATTTTTGGCCGAAAATGGGCCTATCCCATTTCGGCCGAAAATGTGTGAAATCTGCCGAAAATAGGGCAGGTTGACTTGTCATGTCCTCGGTCTATGAGGCCCCTCCCATCTGCCGGGGGGAGAGCGAGTACAGTCTGCAGTTCCACCCGGTGTGAGCTGCAGACTGTGCTGTATGTTGCGATCTCTGGCCAATCAGAGCGTTGCCGCGGATTACCATGGCAACGCTCTGACTTCTGGATATTGCAAGATACAGCACAGTCTGCAGACTGGAGTGACAGCCCACCGGACCACCAGGGAGCCAGGACACTGGACCACCAGGGAATGAAACGTATTACTAACATCCTCCCTCAGCCCCTCTGTCACCAGTAGCCTACTCCCTCACTATGTCATCCCCTCACTCTGCCACCTGTCACCCCTCACTCTGCCCCCTGTTACACCCTCCCTCCCACGCTCTGCCACCTGTCACCCCCTCACTCTGCCATCCCTATCCCACCCAACACTATGTGTCCAACCCATACTACATCCCTATCACACTCCACACTATGTGCCCTACACACACTACATCCCTAGCCTACCCCACGCTATGTGCCAAACACACTCTACATTTAGAACATACATAAGGAACTGCACTCAATCCCATCAATCAGAGCCAGGGTGCTTAACTAAACCAGAACCAAGCACCAGGTTCCAATGGCAATGATGTAGGATACAAAAAAGGTTCAGGCACTCCTAGGTTCAGAGCAGGCAACTGCTGTGGGTTCCAATAAAGTTGCCTGCTGTGAACCTAGGAATGCCTGAACCTTTTTTGTATCCCAACACACTCTACATAACCTACAAAACTACATCCCTATCCCACACTGTGTTTCTTACACACACTACATAACCTACACACTACATCCCTTTCCCACACCTCACTATATTCCATACACACACTACATAACCTACACAAATCATTTGGGTGGGAAAAAGTCATTTTCGGTTTTGGTTTTCGGCCAAGGGCATACAGAATTTTCGGTTTCAGCACAGAATTTTCATTTCGTTGCACCCCTAGTTACAGTGACATTCTGACTGGTGGTGTCACCCGAATAAGTATTAATTTTTATTTTTTTTCTTTCCTCTCAAAAGCAATAAAGTCAGAACTAAAGGCAATTTTCATTTCGGTGCATCCCTAGTGACGTCAGTCTTCCTTGCTGGAAGGGGAGGACATGGGTGGCACGGATGGGGGGGGGGGGGAACCCTTGTTCTGGGCTGGTTACTGAAGCCATAATGACGTGGCAGCAGAGGGGTTAAAGTCTGTAGCATTTCATAGTGGAATATTGCACATACAGGTTCCATGACTATTTAAAATCACTGAATTGCTTGCAATAACCCTTTAATTTTTTAAAACAACTACTAAAGCTAATTAAGCAACATAATAGAAGCAACACTTATATTGCCTTGCTGTCTGAATTCATTCACTTTTTTGTATAATTAGGAAATGACTTCCATGGATGTATGCAGTAGCTGTATAAATTCTCTTCTAGAAAACTGTGATACAGCATGTTTGGATAGTCTATTTATGGTGACATTTCATACATCTGTCATTTTTGTAGAAAACAAAGCTAAATCAAACAAACACTAATAGTTATTCATTAAAGAGAATTCAAAGTGAATATCAAATTCAAGGTAAAAATAGAGATGCTTCCGATTCGGCTACTCTGACCTCAATTGCAAATTTTACTCTAAATTCTCACTTTGGGGAATAACCCTGACCGTAACCTATACATTTTTCTGGACTAGTATTCGTGACTCGATTATCACCTTAACCCCTTAAGGACACATGACATGTGTGACATGTCATGATTCCCTTTTATTCCAGAAGTTTGGTCCTTAAGGGGTTAAAGGGTTGATCTAAGGACCATCACAGATTGCAGAATTACAAAGTGTATGGTGTGTAGAACACTCTGCATCAACTATGAGCTCTGATTGCAGGTTAGAACCGGAGAAATTTAAAAAATACAAAAAAAAAAAAAAAAACTGGTGCAACTCTCAGTCAGCCCACTGGAACTGTCAGTCCACTCCGTTTCGATTGCCTGATGTTTGTCCACATAGTGTGTGTTATTTGCACTCACAGTTCGGGCTGATCTCTATCCTCCCTAAAGATAGAGCTGAGTTGCAGACTGCAGAGCACTCTAGACAGTTCTGTGTAAACTGATGGCTGCTGAGGTGTGGTGCTATCTGTTTAAAAGGCCACTTATCCTATATTATGAGTAAAACTGCTCCTCGTGAATAAACTACTTATCCCATGATCCTTGCTGTTTATTGGATAAGAATAGACCCCAATCGCCAGGATAATGCACCACCAATTGGAGTCTCTCTTTCACACGTGGAGTCTCCCTGTAGCTTCAGATAGCATTTCTAAAGTATGCAACATACTTTTTCCTTTCTACAAATCAATATTTCAGCATATTTTATCTTGTGACAATGTAACAGGATTCTGTGTTGTTCTTTGTTGCACTTTTGTAATTCATGGTTGATTTAGAATTTTCTTGTCACATGATGTCTTGTACACTCTTTGAGTACCTTGTCTGTTGTGTATGCAGTTAATAATATTCCTATTAAACCTGTTGTAATAAGTGAAGCTTTATAAATAAAATGTTATTCATCCATCCAAAATACAGGCAGAGCTAGAGATACAATGTTATTTGTAGCTTCAATTTTATCATTCTCTTCTTGAGACAAATTACAATACGAATAGGAGCATTGGCCATTCAGTCTGACATCCGCATCCCAGCTTCACACACCATTTTTGGAATGCTATCTTCATTCTTTTTCAGTTGGAAAGATATGTTGGCATCTCCCACACCCAATAATGCAAATAAAAAGCTGCTGAATTTGTGGCCTGTTATTCTACACCATAATAGACATAAATCTAACAAATCGGTCCATCAATATTAAAAAGCTGTATTCCTGGCACCATAGCTCCCTCTGCCTCCTCCCCAACCTCCACCCAGGTGAATACTTTTTCCAGCGCCAATCTCCCTTGGTGCTGGGTCCTGGATCCGCCCCCTCCGACGGCTTGTGATGAGCGGGTGCTAATGCACAGCAAATGCCACGTGCGCATTAGACTTCCCCATAGGAAAGCATTGAATCAATACTGCCTGGTAGATTAACATGCTTAACATTGCAGCACTAAGTGCAAAAGGGACACCGCACCCAGACCACTTAATGAGCGAAGTGGTCTGGGTGCCTACAGTGTCCCTTTAAAGTCTTACTTCAGGTCTGTGAAATTCAGCAGAAAAAAAATCATGAAAAACACTAATATCAGTTCACAAAATTAGGTATGGGGGATGTTATTACATATTTTCCTACTACTGAGATCATGACCATCGCATTCCCAAAATAATGTGTGAAGCTGTGAGGTGGGATGCTGAAGTCAATCTAAATAGCAAATCTTTGTCGGAAGTAGTGAAACATACAAAATAGATGCTACAAATAACATTGTATCTTTAGCTCTGCCTGTATTTTGGATGGATGAGTAACATTTTATTTATAAAGTTCCACTTACTAATCCTGGCACAAACATTAAATAAGAAATTGAGCTAGGATTCTAACTCTACATCAGCATGTCAAGGCTGTCCCAAGAATTGGAGACCCACAATGCTGCCCCTTAGTAATAGGAATCTAAAGAATGGGATTTGGTCTCACTCATGACAGATCTATCGGTAGCTTAGCCTTGTTGTGATCAGTGAAACCAGTGATTCAATGATCTTTTAAACAGCTGACATACAGGATATACTGACCATCATTGAGGCAGGTTAAGTGTACCCTTTACACACTAGATTTTCAACTTTAAAAAGAAAAAAAACATTTTTGTTTTTGAATCGTTCATTAAGGTTAACATTCCTTCCTTATGAGCCAATAGATGTGTTTATTAACCCCTGATGATAGGGATTTTCATATGTCTATATTGGATTTCCCCCCCTTTTATCATACTGTTTCAAGGAAGGTTGTGCTCTTGCAAATCACACGCTATTTGATTTTCTTTTCTGTAATCTAATTTTATTTTGCTGCAGGTATTCCATATCTCTGGGCACGACTGGATAGGAAACCATCAAAACCAGCAGAAAAAAGATTTAAAAAACACATTCTTACAAAAGGAATTTCAAAGGGTTAGTCTGCGTATTTGAATGCATTAATAATATGCAAGTTCTCCTGTTCTATATGAAATCACAGTTTTGAGTTAAAGGTGGTACAGTAAATAATTGATTTAAAGGGACACTTTAGCTTAATTAAGCAGTTTTGGTGTATAGAACATGCCCCTGTAGCCTCACTGCTCAATACTCTGCCATTTAGGAGTTAAATCCCTTTGTTTATGAACCCTAGTCACACCTCCCTGCATGTGACTTGCACAGTCTTCCATAAACACTTCCTGTAAAGAGAGCCCTATTTAGGCTTTCTTTATTGCAAGTTCTGTTTAATTAAGATTTTCTTATCTCCTGCTATGTTAATAGCTTGCTAGACCCTGCAAGAGCCTCCTGTATGTGATTAAAGTTCAATTTAGTGATTGAGATACAATTATTTAAGGTAAATTACATCTGTTTGAAAGTGAAACCAGTTTTTTTTCATGCAGGCTCTGTCAATCATAGCCAGGGGAGGTGTGGCTAGGCTGCATAAACAGAAACAAAGTGATTTAACTCCTAAATGACAGTGAATTGAGCAGTGAAATTGCAGGGGAATGATCTATACACTAAAACTGCTTTATTTAGCTAAAGTAATTAAGGTGACTATAGTGTTCCTTTAACCATTAAAGGAACACTATAGTCATCTAAACAACTTTAGCTTAATGAAGCAGTTTTAGTGTATAGATCATGTCTCTCAAGTTTTACTGCTCAATTCACTGCCATTTAGGAGTTAAATCACTTTGTTTCTGTTTATGCAGCCCTTGCCACACCTTCCCTGGCTATGATTGACACAGCCTGCATGAAAAAAAAAACTGGTTTCACTTTCAATCAGATGTAATTTACCTTGAACAAATTTATAGCTTGCTCTGTAAATTGAACTTTAAAGGGACACTATAGTCACCCAGGCCACTTCAACTCAATGAAGTGACCTGGGTGCCAGGTCCCTCAGGTTTTAACCCTTCAGATGCAAACAGAGAAACTGCTATGTTTACATTTGGGGTTAAGCCAACCTCTAGTGGCTGTTTTAACCCCTTCAGTGCCACAGGAGGGGCACCCTGAGGGTGGGGGCACCCTCAGGGCACTAGTGTGTCAGGAAAACCGCTTTGTTTTCCTGACACTATAGTGATCCTTTAATCACATACAGGAGGATCTTGCAGGGTCTAGCAAGCTATTAACATTGTAGGGGATAAGAAAATCGAAGTTAAACAGAACTTGCAATAAAGAAAAGATAAACTTTAGATGACTCTTTACAGGAAGTGTTTAGGAAGGCTGTGAAAGTCACATGCAGGGAGGTGTAACTAGAGTTCATAAACAAAGGGATTTAACTCCTAAATGGCAGAGAATTGAGCAGTGGGGGTTCAGGGGCATGTTCTATACACCAAAACTGCTTAATTAAGCTAAACTTGTTTTGGTGACTATAGTGTCCCTTTAACTTGTCTAAATGGAAGTTGATCTATTAAAAAAATATATAACTGTTGGTGGTATTAAAGCAATCACGCTGTTAGGATTATACCTTAAGTGTAATAAAACATTGTTAACCTTTTCAATTCACTGTATGCTTATTTTGCTTAACAATGGCACATGTTGCACATAAAAAGTATGCTTTACCAGTAGGATATTCTGCCCCATCTTTCCCCATCATTCCATTTGTAAAATTAGACATGATCTGGTTATTGTGTTATACTACAGGTATTACAAACATTTCCACAGAATTTGCAAACATTAAAATATTTTAATAAATGTTTTTTCTGCACTAATTCAAATAAACTGTTCATCTACAAAAGAAAAGACTGCACATTATACAACTCTAATACCATAATGCTATTCATTGTCAGCACACTAAGCTGAAAATAACAAAACAAACTGCTAAAGATTAAGTTAATCTTGACACTAGTCCTATCATTTATTTCTACTGGATTTCCACATTGGTTTTAATCCTTTTATTTTATTTTTTTAATTTTCAGTTAAATGTACCATACATCCAAATGTTAAATTTTTACCTATATGCTGGCTTTTTTTTTTTTTTTTAAGTTAATTCATCTTTGTGAATAACAATAATAATTTGTACTTGTTCATGGATGATGTCGTCCGCATCATTTTCGCAATAGGATATTATCACAAAGTGTATATATTTGATCTTTGCTCATGTTAAAGGTCATTATAGATACCCAACTGGTCAGGGGGCAGTGCCCCTATCAATTTAACCCTGCATTGGTAATTATTGCAGTTATTGATAAACTGCAAAAATGACCTTGCAGAGTTAACTCCACCTCTAGTGGCTGTCTAACAGTCTGTCTATGCACGAGGACATCCAGAGTCCGATTGGGGTTGTTCTAATGTGCTCGCCACGCATGCGCGTTAGGTCCGCCTACGTCAGGGGGAGGAGGGGCAGAGGTGGGGCCTGGCGCTGGATTCATGTAAGTGACAAAAGTGTTCTGAGCTGCAGGAGAAGTACTGTAGGGTACGATAGTGCCGGGAATACACTTTTGTATTCTTAGCCTATAGTTTCCCTTGAAGTGTTTTTAAAGTTTGGTAGCCACCCTGCATCCCAAAATAATAATATTTCTGCAGATTGCTCCACGTTTAGCACTTTGCAGTAGAATCCCTCATTATACACTGACTAATGTTGTCTTCTTTCTGTGAAAGATCAGAATTTGTAAAATGATCTGGGTTACTCATCATGTTATGACAATGCAAAAAACGTTATCTATCCTCCATGCAATCCAGCTATAATGCATTGACCTTGTTGTATTAAAAGGTTCACCAGTGCTCATTTAGTTATTTTTTTTTTTTTAGTTTTACTTGTTATAAAATATTACTGTCCACTGACAATCACTTTACGTGGTCATACGTCATTATAAAACAATGGAATATTTCCTCTACAAAAATATCCCAGTAATATCTCCTCTTCTCTCATCTTACAAAACATCCTCTGCCTGTTCTTCAGCACGTCAAACATCTCATATTACTTAAGCACAAATTACATTTTTATCTTCATGCCGTACATGCAAAACTTTGCATAGTAACATTCTCATTGTAGTCATTCTGTCTTCACTGTTCTATATACAACCAACAAGGATTGTGTTTCATCTTCTTTCTAATTTGTATTTGTTTATTGGATGTATTTATTCCTTGTATGGTATATGTTGATTTATACATGGATTATTGCCCTGGAAATGGAATAGTTTGTGTGTTTTGTACATTTTTAATAGACATTACTTTTTCTTTTTTTTAGGTACTATGTATGTGTTGAATATATACAATAAGCTACTTGATATTCCTTTTGGGTGTGTTCCTTATTGATTTTAATATACATTGTATTTTTGAACTCTATGCAGAATTGTGAGTGAGCACCTGTTTCTCTCTCTTTTTAAATTATTTTCTGTTTTTTGTATATTCTTTTCACACAAGTGTGCCCTCCTAGTTAATTAGCTGTTTTCACTGATGTATATTTCAGAATGTCTCCTATTTATCCATAACATTCCTCTACCTGCCATCCATCTACTTAGTGATTCTTGCACCAATGTCATCTGCTGTCATACGTGACCTCTTTTGTTCACAGTGACACATTGCCATCTAACACTATGTTGTGGAAAGTGTTTAATGTATTTATTGAGGCTTCCACATTGGTATAGAATTATTAGTGTTTATCGTGGCACTCCAGACAGACATTATCCTGCATCTTAATCCTGGCATTGTCAGGTTAATCCTCTTTTTTTTTTTTTTTTTTTGAGTATTGCAGCTAATGATATGAGATAAATGGTAAGGTCTTTACTGGTACCTCTCCGATACTTCGGGATACCTAATAATAATGAGTAATGGGTAAGATGCAACATTACCAAGTGCTACCACAACAAGTGCAAATACTCCCATAATCTGAATCCTACAGGGCACTCCTGATTTTTGGGTCCGGTACCCCAGTAGTTCCCTGGTGTCCTGCTTTTTAGGGGCACCAGGGAACTGTCCCCAATATTGATGGCACAAACACATCAATAGATGTGCTCACAATATGATTGGGGCACTAGGACCCTGCACACTGCACTGAAACTATGCTCCCTGCAGGGTCTTTCCTCAGTGGGCTGGCCTGCACGATGGACAGGCAGCCTGGCATGCAATCATGGCTGACCTGACATTACTGCAGATGGACCAGCCTCTTTGGAGCTACTGACTCCATTGCATCACTCGCCCGGCCCCTTTATCTCCCTCCCATTAGCATCTGATTTGCAGGTTGCCAGAGTTGGGAGATATGCATTTGAGAAGGAAGTATTTCTAGCATAAGGGGTGGGGTTAGGGAGGTATTCTGCAAAACATATTTTTGTGCAAAAACTAGAAGTATGCGAGAATGCAAACATTACAGCATGTTAATGAAGACAAAATCTATTAAAGTTGTATTGATGCCCGGAGTGCCCCTTTAACACTCCCTGTGCTTGCTTTGCTAAGGTTTATAGAGAGATTTTCTTTCAGGCTGATTTGCTCCACTCAAAATTCCACCTGTCACACTGTTTACATTCACAGAACTAACCAACATAGCCTTTTACCACCTGTCTCAACTACACAAGTACACCTACTCCTTTACCCATCTCTTTGCACAATTCCTCAAAAAGCATGAGGGGGAAAATATATTTATCTGACATGAACACTGAGTGTTCTCAAATAGAACTGATAAAATGCTCGGTGTCCCAGACTCCCTATAATATCAGGTTGAATAATTTTAGCAGTCTTGATATTGTTTTCTGAGATCTGCATTAAACTTCAGTGGTTTCAAACCGCCTTAACATAAGATTTGTAATTTTATTTTTCATGTTCAGACTTTGATTGGAAGGTTGATGAGGACTTCAAAGAAGTCCCTGAGTTTTGGATTCCAGCAAAAGAAGTAAAACTGTGTAATGGGAAACCTTACCCAGATGAGAATGGACACATTCCAGGTGCGTAATTCCATCAATGGCATCACATAGTACAATACAGACTGTGTACCCTAACCATAAACTCTTACACTAACCCTCACAAACGTATTGTGTAATATAAAACATATGTATCAGTGTAGCGTCTATTGAAAATAATGCCCTTGTAGGGATCATGGATACATTTCTAAACTATTAAAAGATTTAGAACAATGTCTTCAGAACCTTTCAATTGCATTATTTCTCTTAATACACATTCACTGTTATGTGCCTGTGGGTTGTACACAAACTACCATGTTATTTAAACAAGTAAGTTTTAATGTACCAACTTGTCAAATCAGTTTATTTTTATTATATTCGGCGTATTCTGTCCATCATGATAACACTCACTGGGAATCTGGGAATCCAATGTAAAAATTGACGTAAAGTGTAAATACTGTGACATCATTGATAGTTAACCCCTTCAACACCAAAATAGAGAATGTTTTAAAAAAGTTCTTCATGCATTTTTGCAGTATGAAATCTAGTCCATAAAGCCTCACTCACCCTCATTTAATCTCTAGTTATTACCAGCCTGTAGCGGAACGAATTTCTCTGCCAGAAGACACTAGTCACTGATATAATGTATGTAAAGTTGCGGAAACTGTAAGCTCCAGCCGCTTTCAAACACTACAGGAAGTTTCACTGGGTGATGGCATAGGGTGATTCATTGGGTGAATGGACTGTTTGCATTACAGAGATTGATTTATGTTTGCTCTAGTCGTTTTAAGCACCTTTTTATTTTAGAAATATGATTTAACTGTGTGGGCATTATCCTCAAATACAAACATTCTTTTTACTTACAGTTTGCAATTTTTGGTAAGATGCACTGCTTTTAATGCATTCAGGGTCCTTACAAATATCTATAAGAAGGTATTTGCCTATTCGTATGAATATTTTGTCACACCTACTGTATGTGAGAGAAATTGAATTTTTGCTTTTATGCTAACATTTCAGACCATTGCATTATAAAGGACACTGCTCACGGTCTAAATCTCCATTACCCAAATACTTTTTATAAAGTACAAATAAAAAAAGTGTGCTTGATTTTAATATTTACATTTTGTCTGCAAAGCAATCTATATTCATACTTGATGTAATATGTTTTAAATGTTATGCTAATATTTCTTCAATCAGAAAGTGCTCGGTAGTGAAGGATTTAAGCAATATAATGTACGTTTCCACAGGTTGGGTGCCTGTTGAAAATCAAAAGCAATATTGCTGGCATTCATGTGTAGTAAACTACGTAGCAGGGGTTGCCCTTGTGCTTAAACCTCACACAGAAGAATCAGAGTCCTTGGAAATATCCATTGTGCCCCTAGCAGATCTTCTGGAGCAAACACTGGAACTTATCGGAACTAATATTAATGGCAACCCATATGGTGAGTCCCTTGGACAAGGAAAAAAAAAAAAAATCTGTTAATTACACTGTCAATAATAATCCATTCTTCAACTCCTCCGTCACTTTGTCTAAAATGAGATTCTCTATAAAAACAAAACAAACAAAGGAGCAAAACGGTGATATTCAGTCCAGTGGTTCTGCTTTAACATGCTAAATTTAAAGAATTCAGAAATAAATAAATAGGTTCACTAGATTCAGACTGCTATGAGATGCTGGAACATAGGCACAACAAAGCTTGTGAAAAGCTAAGTATAGCCTCTAGAATGTAAGCTCATTGAGCAGGGCCCTCCACCCCCTCTGTCCCTGTACATCCAGTTGTCTGGTTACAATCACATGTCTGTTAGTCCACCCATTGTACAGCGCTATGGAATGTGATGGCACTATATAAATAATAAAATAGTCTTTATCTTAAGAAACAAATTGCCAGGCTACTGTATAATTGTGGGACGACTATTAAAAAGTTATTTAATTTTGTGGCTTTCCTGCAATCTTTGTATCTGCAGAGAGTATAAAATGACCATAGATGGCTTAGCTGGCTATATGATAGAGGTATTTTGATAGACGTGGGGCTGAATACTATTTCCACATTTTAAATGCATGGTAAAATTGCTGTTTTAACATTTCATTATTCAACATTTAAAAACTTTGGAGTGTTACCAGGACTAACATGTTAGAAATAATGTTGAACATCATAATCACGGTTTATATTCAAATAAATTCTTCTAAAATGAAAAAATGCTATATTTATTCTCATTGTCTGTTTGCTGGGGGTGCTTTTTTCCCCACAAGCCAATCTATTGAAGAACAAATAAACAAAACACACTTTAAAGATACGAGAGAAAGTTCGGTAACTAGTAAAGAAAAATTGTATATGATTTAAAATGGCCATCATTTACTAGAGGAGAAGAGATTGTAAATGGCTATTTAACAGTTATTTGTTCCCAGTACAGACGGTATAATTGACACACAAGAGGAACACTGAAAGATTCATTGAACAAGCCTGTTATTACTTCAAGTAATCATATTTGCATTGATTACATTTTCAACCTTTGCCTGCAGAAATGTATGCTAATTGTCTATTTAACACTAGTACTTATTAGGTACACTTCACTTAACAAATGCCAAATGTAAAGCATGCTTGCATTTATGAATTTCTATTGATCCACCTTATCTGTAAAATAAAACACAACTCACATTCTTTATGCATTGTGGGTTCCTTTATTTCAGCCAACAGAGAAGTCAGCATTTTGATACTTGGAAAAAGAAGTTCCAAACACTGCCTTGTCAGCTGGCCTGAATTAAGGAACAATAGTTTAATAAATACATGTTTTGTATTGCCATGTAATATACGCCAGAAAACTGTAGGCTGATGTTTTCATGATAATTCTGACCGTCAATCTTATCTGATAATTCCAAAACTAATATTTTGTAATTTTTCCAATTTTATATATGCAATTATTGTAGAAACACAGCCATTTTTATATCACATTTAAATTTGGTAGATTAAAATCGTTTTACTGGTGATGTTTGCAGGCATTGGAAACAAGAAGAATCCCATGCATTTCCTGGTTCCACATGGAGCATTTCAAATCAGGAATCTTCCAGTGCTAACTCATCACAGCCTGGTGTCTTGGTTTGATTGTCCAGAGGGTAAAGTTGAAGGAATAGTATGGCACTGCAACAATGGATCGTTAATAAAGGTATAGCTTCACTGAAATGCTTAAATTATAACTATTCATCAAGTACCACTACCTAGTAACTGAATTTGGTCTTACTGTGGCCACTAGTCTTTTCCAGGTGAAATTGTCAATACTAATATCCACCAATCCAATGCTTCCCCACAGAGAAGCATTAGAGGGTTTGCGTACATATGCAGCAATTGCTGTGCTGCACTAATAGACATCTCCTCATAGATGTATGGGGTCAGTGAATCTCTACTGGGAAAGTTGGTTCAAATGTCTGAAGTGCAAAGGTTGCAGGAAAAGGTCTCTGGTGCACAGTGTCATTTTTAGGATAGACTTGTGCTCATTATTTACCTTACGTCTCAACGGGCTACCCCTTTTTATTAAATGTTGGGAGATAACACTACAGTGAACACATTTTATACCTCTATCTCTGGGAAGCACCTAATGAAGGGGTTTAGCAGAATTTAATGATATACTATGGTCTCATATTGTGTACCTCATTTGCCCTCCCTTCATCTTTAGCCATCCTACCTTTTCATCATATACTCTTGTTTCTAGCATTATTAAATATGCTTCTATCAGGTCACCACTTTTTTACATACATGTACATCATAAGGTTTTTTTATTACAGGTATTGAATATCTTACTTTTGTGAAACCATGTTCACCAGAACATAGGATACAGTATTTTCAATGATGTCTTTTTATATCTGATTTGATATTTATAGCAAAATAATCTGGCAGATAATTTTCACAACTCTTGATTTTTTATTTTATTTTTTTTTTTCAAGCTTCATCGCCATCATCTTGGATTATGTTGGCCTTTACCGGACACTTGGCTGAATTCTAAACCTGTTTCCATCCGTTTGGATTTGTGTAAATACGAATGTGAATCTGTATCAAACTCTTTATTTAGTCATCTTTCAAAGAAAGACGCTCAGCATTTTGACAGACTCCAAGATGTATCATTGGAATGAACAGACAAGAGAGGTTGACTTTCCACGTTCCAACAGCAAGCTGTTAGCTGCACTTTACTGAGACAGCCTGCTAATGTGACTTATCTTCATTTTCTAGTTGAAATAACTTCAGAGGTATAGACAGCCTGTAATGCATAGATGTCAATTTTCAGATGAACAAAAATGTCAACATTAAAGCTCAATCTTGGCATCTGAATGTGTAAATATCTTATGTACCATATGCAGTGTATATGTGAATTTGTTCACTTTGCTTTTACCTGTACATAAGCTACAAATTACTGCAAATATTTCAGATGAACCTATTTACCCCACTCTGTGCCTACACAAACTGGTTATAATTCTTTTAGCATTGCTAAGCAAAATGCTTTAAAAAAATAAATAAAATTAAAACAAAGTATGTGTGTGTGTGTGTATATATGTGTGTGTATATATATATATATATATATATATCTATATATATATATATATATATATATACACACACACACACAGTTAACTTTCTATACTCATTGGTGATCTGAATATAAATAAAAAAATTACTCTGTTCCAGTCAAGATCGGTAAATTCTGCACCTTCTGCTCTGTACAGGCTTGAAAACATCCAGGTCGGACTACGGGCACAATGCAGTGCCCACTTAGTGCAGATGTTTGGTTTTAGCCAGACACTATGCTAGTATGTGGGGCATGTTCTGCTGGTATTATGGGAATTTACATTCCCAAAAATGCCAGTAAGATTTTTACAAATACACATAAGGATCATTGTTGATTTCTATTATACTTATTGTACTGGTTGGAAAAAAACAAACATTGTTTATACACTATTATTTTTGGTGCCTTTCTGAGCTAACATGGCATCGCACACAACACCTTTTTCTGTACAAGAAATGTTTTGTAAATTTACATAGTTGTATTCTTTCATTTTGTACCCCCAGAGCAGCATTTTTATACACATGGGTTAGTCATTGTAAGTGTTAACTAACCATTCTATGCTTCACTCCTGTTTCAACCACTAAAAATGTTTAAAGACTTTCTTTAGCAAACCAATAATGTATATGCCTTCAAATTTAAGAAACAGAAACAAGGTTCAAAGTTTTATTTAAAATTAAAAAGGTACAAAAACAATGTTCCAATGATTTTGTTATTTATGCATACTTTTTACACAGTCATTGCCTGGAGACTCATAAAATATAGTTTATATAACAACCATTATAGAAAAATTAAGTGCAAAATTTTAATCTAAAAAAAACCAAAACACTTCAGTCATGGTGGCTGTATCTCCACCATTCTAATGTACATTAGAAAAAAATATTAAATTAACAGAATATAAAAATACCTCTACTGTAATTTCTACAGGTTAAGGGTTTCTAAAGCTTGGCAACTCTGCCGGTTCTATAATAATTTACATTTTTGGGCCAGTGCCAATAGTGAAATGTCATCTTAGGAACTCCTAAACACCATAATCACTAACACAACCTGCAGTGGGTATGGTGCCCCTCTCCTTTGGCCCTTGCTACTTGTAGGACCAATTTGACTTCTTAAATAGAAACCTGCCGGGAATCGTTCCACACCCCTTCTCTGCTGGAAGCTCCTGCTTTTGAACTTCCATAAGCCCTGCTGACCTAAGCTCTTCAATGCAGGCTAGCGAGCTGATTGCTTGCAGACAAATTATACCCTGCACCGCTTGGACTTGGCTAAATGAAGAGAGATTGCAGTAGACAGCATGTGTGAATTGGTGCCCGGCCGACATCTGGTAAGAAATTAAACGGTTTGACTACTTGCATTGAGTGATGGGTGGGGCATCATAACCAGTTCAGAATGCAGCAGTGATTGTGGTGCTTTAAATGCTAGTCAGGGACTTTATCCAAGTAAGCCAGAAGCACACCTGTTTATTCCTAACACCAATGTTATGCATCATATCAATAAATAACGTTTCATTTATATTTGCTTGTGCCTTCATAAAATGATGGATTTAACACAAAATCAATGTCATCACATGAAACCAAATGCGCATGTTACACCATGACCGCAGAATGCCACACCAATTTTATCTTAATCCCCGCTTGCTGGGATCTCTACCTGTACCCCAAACTGTTCTGCAAGTGCCTTCAATCTCTCTTCAAGAAGTATATTCTTTTTAACTTCTTCATTATAATTGTACTTTAGATCTTCAATTTCTTCAAAAAATGTGGGGTCAAAGTTTTCTAGCTCTCTTTTCAGTCTTTGGATCTCTTCCTAGAAAAATAGAAAGGAAATAAACATATGTATGCGATTTGTCTTCCAAATCCCCTTTAAAGATTTCATGGTAAGTGAAGGGTTCACAAGAATTCCAGGAAAACCATTAATCGAAGATGCAATAATATTTCAAGAGCTCTTATTACACCTAAAAGTGATGCTTTGCTAGCAGTTGGCCAGTAATTATTTACAGCCTATTTGCATGTTCTTGTTTAGGTGAACAGGGTACTCCCATAATCTTTGACAGCTGATAGATGTAGACTCCAATGCACTGGACTCCCTGTTGCATCATATGATGAACTAAGGGACAATGGACAGGTTCTACAACAAGTCACACTTACTGTATTGAGGAGGTGAATTCTACTTCTGCATTATATGCCAGGTTAGTGCTACATATGATTACAAGATTATTTGTAATTATTTTTAAAGAGGCACTTAAAATGTCAAGACTGAAGAGGAAAATACGCTCTCACTGCATATTTCCTTATTACAACTCCCCTCACCCCCCTTCCCTGTTTTTCTTCTCTATCTGCATTCACCTTGTGTGGTGATGTTACATTCATTTAAATAAATAAAAAAATCCACTGAACGGGGAAGCTATTTTTCTTGCGTTCAGTCATGTCTACTGCTGACTGCCCTACAGTTTATTAATTACTACACTGTTTCTTATCCTTTACCTCTACCCTCAATACTGTGTACATTTGCTGTTGGGTAATTGCTCCTCTTCTGACATGCTATGTTCTAACTTTCACCATTATCTATACTGCCTTTTGAGCAACTAAGATGTTTGTCACAAAGACATCATCTTGATGTATATCTTACGCTTCTTGTTATGTAAGTTCTCATATTTTGTTTTATGTTCTCTAACCTCAAAAAAATAAATAAAAAATAGCTCTCCACCAAACAATTACAAGAGCCTTACAATGATCTAATAATTGGCATTGAAAGCTGCATCAAGGTGTATTCTCATTAGAAATTATCTATGTATTACAGGGATCTATAATTCCACCTCTGGTGCCATGCAGGCAATTTCTTTTCTGCTTTTAGCCATGCTGTGTGCAAACAGCAATGTTGCCCTATGGGATGTTTTGGGGTGGGGGGGGAGGGGGAGCTTATGATCGATCTGCACCTTCAGCAGGTGCAAACCACAGTAATTGCTAACTGAGTCAGAGCACAGCTGCCGGTTTTGCCAGCATACCCTCTGACTTGGTTAGTGCCAAATCACGAGTATTGTGGTCTGCACACAAAATTCTCCAACACTGGACCATAAGGGATGTTAACCCCTGCTACTCAACTGGCTCAGCTTAAAAAAAGCTTGAAGATAATCGCAGTTGAAATCAAAATGTTGCATGTTTTTCTTGATTTTCCAATAATACTGCTTCATAAATGATCACGAGTGCCTGGACTATATTTATTATTTTACCATTGGAATGGGGTTAGCCAGCCCCAGGTCTGGATGCACCAGGACCTGATAAGAGTATGGATTCCTCCCTTGTTTGTTCATTAATAATTTTAGATTAGTATTTAGGAAAAGCATTTTAAAAGCTTAAGTGTCTATGTCACAATCTCCCAGTCAAAAATGTTTCATAAGACAAAGTAGTGACTAATTTGCCTTAAATATTTTGTCTACACTTGAAAAACAGTGAAGCTACCTCTGTCAAGCTTTGTCTATGTAGGCTCCCACAGTCTTGCAGGATCATCCATAGGCATCAGTGTTGTACTGTCATGCAAGTAGAGCACTGACATTGGCTCCTGAAGAGGATGCACTGGAACAAGATGACAGCAGGTTGCGATGGACAGGTGCAGGTAAACCAAACTTACTTTTCCCTGCCACAGACAGCCGCTGTAAATATATATATATATATATATATATATATATTTACAGAAATCAAGAAGAGTGCACTCAGAGGTCTGGTAAGAAAATAATTGATGCTTTTATTCAACACATATACAAGTCACTTCAGTGATAGATGTGGATCCAAAAAACAAGGCTGCAGCGAACATGTCACGGCAGCATGCAGAGTAACTTCTAAGTGTTTTTAGACCTCTTAGGTAAGTTTTCTAAAAAAATATTTTTCTACTATGTCTAAGAAAAATTAAAATTAAGGCAGATTTAGGCCCCATTTAATATTTTTAGATAAGCTTCTCAAACAATTTAATAGTAATTATAAAAATATATACAGATATATTTTTTATATAGTATAATTATAATTATTTACACACACACATATATATATATATAAATATATAAATCACTTTTCAACAATATTCTCCATTCATTTAATCCAAGCTTAAACTTAGTTTTGTTGTGTGGAGATTGTCCTCTTGGACAATCAATATTTTAATATTTTTGAATAAACTTTTAAAATATATATATATATATATTTTAAAAGTTTATTCAAAAATATTAAAATATTACAATATTGATTGTCCAAGAGGACAATCTCCACACAACAAAACTAAGTTTAAGCTTGGATTAAATGAATGGAGAATATTGTTGAAAAGTGATTCATGAAAAGAACATTTTTGTGACAGTGTCACTTTAACTTACCTTTAAGTGCTGTTTCTCCAAATCTGAAGTTTTAACATGAGTTTGTAGATCAACTATATCTTCCATCAATTTGTCATTTTTTCTTGCTTTATCAAATAATTCATCATATCCTAACAATAAAATGTTAAGAAGAAAACCACAGGTTCCATTAAAGCAGACCTTTCATTTGACACCACCATTGGTCACAGCATAAAATCTCTGCATGTCAACGTTTTTTTACAATGGTTCAGCAGTTTTTAAGACGTTTTAAAATGTTTTATTAATATTTCTTTTCCGAGACGTGTTTTGTAACTCATACAGAACACCGGAAATAAGAAGATTGAAAATGGGCAACATATAATCGAGTTTAATAAATATGAGTAAGAAACCAAATTACAAGACACAAAACAAAATAATGGAGATGAAAAAAAAAAAAAAACAGTTGATTTGCCAGTTTGGCTATTTTACTATACATTTGTTTTTCTTTCATTAACATCCACTAAAAATTATTACACAAAAAAAAAAAAAATTCCCAGCCTCGTGTTACAAACTGGTATTAAACACAGGCTGCCTACTCTTTTTCTTTGGTGATTACTGTTACTGTTGTATGACACACAGTCATGTTACAATGCTGTGTTCCCTATAAAGGGTTAAGAAGTATGTAGGGGTTTAGAAATATATCCCTCTCGGTTTTATTATTTTTTTGCCTGGAGCTGAAAGAAGCAAGGAGAATTTTTAGTGTAGGCCTTGACGTGGCAGGTGGACTTGCATCTAATGGCAATTGGAGTTTCTAAATACCCTCTATTTATTTAAATATGCATAGGGATTTGGGCTAGTGCACAGGTAACTTTGTCTTTGATCTACTGTATGTATTTGGGCTAATGTGTGCTATGGTTGTTGCTGCCGCCCAGGAGTAGTGGGAGTTTGAGCGCAAGACTTTTTGTGTATTTGTGGCTGCTCACTGATTATTTTTTTTAATCCTTCATTTTTAAAGTGTCACTCCAATCATCATAACCACTATAGCCAGTGTGATAACAAGACTCTTCAGAATCATGCCCTTTGTTTTCAATGAATTTTATTCTAGAATGTAAAGAGTAACTCTGTGTTCTAAAAATGTATAAGAAATCATTATAAAAATAAAAATTCCACAAATTGCTCTTAAAACTTAACTTTCATTAGTTGCATAACTGGCATCTGCTGCTAATGAGTTTCTATCTCCTTTTTTATCTAGATGAGCATTGTCCGTTTAAAAGCTTCTCAAATTTAAGCAATCGGAAAAAAAAATCTCCAGTACAAAGCTTCTCATAGAGATTGGAGGAAGGGGGGAAGCGGGGGGGAGGCTATTTATGGTTTTGAATTTGTATGAAAACATAATTTTGCCCTGCATTATTTGAACTTTTGTTTTACTGTATTAATATTTATGTACTATGCAGGCCTTACCGTGGAGATCTTAGACACAGAGTAATCTTTAAGTATTTAACTAATGACCTTCAGCAGATGGGGTCTCTCCCTTGATGCTTTGCTAGTATTATGGCTGTAAGAGCATGATATGGCAACATCTTGAATACCAAAGGTTGCCAACCCCCTGTTCTAATGGGTTGGAAGATCAGAATGGTAAAGCACTTCACTGGATCTCTATAGACTGTAAACTCGTTCTGAGCTGGGTCCTCTTCAACCTATTGTTCCTGTAAGTTTTTGTAATTGTCTCATTTATTGTTAAATCTCCCCCTTTGATAATATTGTAAAGCGCTATGGAATAGGCTGGCGCTATATAAATACCAGTAATAATAATAGTAAGATAAATTGGTTATGGCATTTATAGAGTCTCCTTTAAGTCTGTTCATCTAAAGAGCCTATTCATTCATCTGCTGTGGCTTGTAGACTGGAATGTATGTGGTATGCTAGGTGCATCTTGTGTTTATGAATTACTGTGTGAGAATGAGCTAGATTCAGTATATTCACTTTGCTATGAAAACATCATGCACTGCTCAGTCTTTTTTAAACTGCTGCATTGGTTTAATTCCAGGAAAATTATTGGCCAAGCATGCAACCATTTCAGTGCCAATCAATGCTCAAACCATGGCACATGGTTATATGGTTTAAATAATGCTCACAACAAATGCTCAAACATATTTTCATTTTCTGAATATCCCCCCCGCGTACCCCCTAAAAAATGACAGCGTCTTTTGCTCTTACGTTATGCGTCATTCTGTAAATTTGATCATATAAGTAACAATTCTGAAATATAGATATTTATCGTGTAAGTATGGGTATGCCTGCCTGAAATTATTAAGAGTTAAACTCTCAGAAAGCAGCTGATATCGTTCATTATTTTCCAATGTATTTTTGCTTGCCTCTGTACGTATATAACAGTACATATTTATTGCAATTTTCCTATTTAATAGTCTTTATTTTTCACTGTTTCAGTGCATTCATTTGAATTCCAGTTGAAATCTCAGTATTCTCATTGGA